GCCAGACCTACTTGTGCGAGTACCTCAGTGTCTGGGACCTTGTCTTGCCAGACCTACTTGTGCGAGTACCTCAGTGTCTGGGACCTTGTCCCGCCAGACCTACTTGTGCGAGTACCTCAGTGTCTGGGACCTTGTCTTGCCAGACCTACTTGTGCGAGTACCTCAGTGTCTGGGACCTTGTCTTGCCAGACCTACTTGTGCGAGTACCTCAGTGTCTGGGACCTTGTCCCGCCAGACCTGCTTGTGCGAGTACCTCAGTGTCTGGGACCTTGTCTTGCCAGACCTACTTGTGCGAGTACCTCAGTGTCGGGTGAACTTGTCCTGCCAGACCTGCTTGTGGGAGTACCTCAGTGTCTGGGACCTTGTCTTGCCAGACCTGCTTGTGCGAGTACCTCAGTGTCGGGTCAACTTGTCCTGCCAGACCTGCTTGTGGGAGTACCTCAGTGTCTGGGGAACTTGTCTTGCCAGACCTGCTTGTGCGAGTACCTCAGTGTCGGGTCAACTTGTCCCGCCAGACCTGCTTGTGCGAGTACCTCAGTGTCGGGTCAACTTGTCCCGCCAGACCTACTTGTGCGAGTACCTCAGTGTCTGGGACCTTGTCTTGCCAGACCTGCTTGTGCGAGTACCTCAGTGTCTGGGACCTTGTCTTGCCAGACCTGCTTGTGCGAGTACCTCAGTGTCGGGTGAACTTGTCCCGCCAGACCTGCTTGTGTGAGTACCTCAGTGTCTGGGACCTTGTCTTGCCAGACCTGCTTGTGCGAGTACCTCAGTGTCTGGGACCTTGTCTTGCCAGACCTGCTTGTGCGAGTACCTCAGTGTCTGGGACCTTGTCTTGCCAGACCTGCTTGTGCGAGTACCTCAGTGTCTGGGACCTTGTCCTGCCAGACCTGCTTGTGCGAGTACCTCAGTGTCTGGGACCTTGTCTTGCCAGACCTGCTTGTGCGAGTACCTCAGTGTCTGGGACCTTGTCTTGCCAGACCTGCTTGTGCGAGTACCTCAGTGTCGGGTGAACTTGTCCCGCCAGACCTGCTTGTGTGAGTACCTCAGTGTCTGGGACCTTGTCTTGCCAGACCTGCTTGTGCGAGTACCTCAGTGTCTGGGACCTTGTCTTGCCAGACCTGCTTGTGCGAGTACCTCAGTGTCTGGGACCTTGTCTTGCCAGACCTGCTTGTGCGAGTACCTCAGTGTCTGGGACCTTGTCCTGCCAGACCTGCTTGTGCGAGTACCTCAGTGTCTGGGACCTTGTCTTGCCAGACCTGCTTGTGCGAGTACCTCAGTGTCTGGGACCTTGTCTTGCCAGACCTGCTTGTGCGAGTACCTCAGTGTCGGGTGAACTTGTCCTGCCAGACCTGCTTGTGTGAGTACCTCAGTGTCTGGGACCTTGTCTTGCCAGACCTGCTTGTGCGAGTACCTCAGTGTCGGGTGAACTTGTCCCGCCAGACCTGCTTGTGCGAGTACCTCAGTGTCTGGGACCTTGTCCTGCCAGACCTGCTTGTGCGAGTACCTCAGTGTCTGGGGAACTTGTCCTGCCAGACCTGCTTGTGTGAGTACCTCAGTGTCTGGTGAACTTGTCCTGCCAGACCTGCTTGTGCGAGTACCTCAGTGTCGGGTGAACTTGTCCTGCCAGACCTGCTTGTGCGAGTACCTCAGTGTCGGGTGAACTTGTCCTGCCAGACCTGCTTGTGCGAGTACCTCAGTGTCGGGTGAACTTGTCCTGCCAGACCTGCTTGTGCGAGTACCTCAGTGTCGGGTGAACTTGTCCTGCCAGACCTGCTTGTGCGAGTACCTCAGTGTCGGGTGAACTTGTCCTGCCAGACCTGCTTGTGCGAGTACCTCAGTGTCGGGTGAACTTGTCCTGCCAGACCTGCTTGTGCGAGTACCTCAGTGTCGGGTGAACTTGTCCTGCCAGACCTGCTTGTGCGAGTACCTCAGTGTCGGGTGAACTTGTCCTGCCAGACCTGCTTGTGCGAGTACCTCAGTGTCGGGTGAACTTGTCCTGCCAGACCTGCTTGTGCGAGTACCTCAGTGTCGGGTGAACTTGTCCTGCCAGACCTGCTTGTGCGAGTACCTCAGTGTCGGGTGAACTTGTCCTGCCAGACCTGCTTGTGCGAGTACCTCAGTGTCGGGTGAACTTGTCCTGCCAGACCTGCTTGTGCGAGTACCTCAGTGTCGGGTGAACTTGTCCTGCCAGACCTGCTTGTGCGAGTACCTCAGTGTCGGGTGAACTTGTCCTGCCAGACCTGCTTGTGCGAGTACCTCAGTGTCGGGTGAACTTGTCCTGCCAGACCTGCTTGTGCGAGTACCTCAGTGTCGGGTGAACTTGTCCTGCCAGACCTGCTTGTGCGAGTACCTCAGTGTCGGGTGAACTTGTCCTGCCAGACCTGCTTGTGCGAGTACCTCAGTGTCGGGTGAACTTGTCCTGCCAGACCTGCTTGTGTGAGTACCTCAGTGTCGGGTGAACTTGTCCTGCCAGACCTACTTGTGCGAGTACCTCAGTGTCGGGTGAACTTGTCCTGCCAGACCTGCTTGTGCGAGTACCTCAGTGTCGGGTGAACTTGTCCTGCCAGACCTGCTTGTGTGAGTACCTCAGTGTCTGGGACCTTGTCTTGCCAGACCTACTTGTGCGAGTACCTCAGTGTCTGGGACCTTGTCTTGCCAGACCTGCTTGTGCGAGTACCTCAGTGTCTGGGACCTTGTCTTGCCAGACCTACTTGTGCGAGTACCTCAGTGTCGGGTCAACTTGTCCTGTCAGACCTGCTTGTGCGAGTACCTCAGTGTCTGGGACCTTGTCTTGCCAGACCTACTTGTGCGAGTACCTCAGTGTCGGGTCAACTTGTCCTGCCAGACCTGCTTGTGCGAGTACCTCAGTGTCTGGTGAACTTGTCCTGCCAGACCTGCTTGTGCGAGTACCTCAGTGTCTGGGACCTTGTC